AAATTTATTTAGGTACGGCTATTGTTTACCATGAATCAAGAGAAGGTCAACCAACTGAAGAGGTTTCAAGATTATGACCACATGATTATTTTGGTGGTAAAGCTTTATTCTTCAATCAACCACATAGTGCATCAGTTAAAGCAAATGGACCATTGACATGTCTGACAATGCATCAAACACGTTTCGAAGATTTTGTCGCACCGGTGCTCATGTTATTAAAAGAAAGAGCAGAATAGTATGCGTCGTTTTCTAATTCAGATGTTTAGTTTTTTTTTTAATGTTATTCATTCATAAGATTAGTATGTGTGATCCATTTCATATACAATCATTAAAGATGAAACAAGAAACAAACTTTACTAATCCTCAATATGAGATTTTTTTCCTTTTTCTTGTTCATATATTTAAATGATTAAAGATATTTCTAATATTTATGTTTGTTCAACTTTTGAAAAACAAAAGTTCATCAAGAGAAACAATTACAATTTATATAAATTAGTTATTTTATTGTTTTAACTCTTTTGAATGCTTGACATACTAAGCTAGTGGAAAAAAGTTTTGAATAGGATCTATTGAATCATCTAATTGCTTGGATGTTAGTAATGTTTCCACTCTAGAACAGTTGTCTCTTGCTTGTGGATGATTTTGAGCGACTATTGTTAACAAAATATCCTTGTTAATAGCGAGTTCGATTAGGGATGAAAGATCCATTTGACAAAGAAATTGTTTAGCATAATCTATATGAATATCGTATAAAATAAGTACAGCTAAATGAGCAAAGTTAATATTAGTTTTCATCGTTGTTGTTTTTTCTCGTTGTTCGAGTTGATTAATTATTTCGAGTGTTTTAAGTCGAGGCAAAGCTCGAGCAACATGTTCAAAGAAAATACTTTCGAAAGGTTTGACATCATCAAAAAGTAATAGAGTAGTAACATTTGAGAACGTCTTATTAATATCAAAGAGTGGAAATCGATTTGAGACAAAATCAAGACGAGTACCGATAAATGGAAGTGAATAGATTTGACATTGTCCAGAATTATTATTGAAATGATCAAGTACACAATCAAATGGTTGTTGTTGTCGAAGAAAGCTTTGACGAATTTGATCAATTGTTATATGAGAAGCATTTTTTAACATTGAACGAATATGAAAACTAAATTGACGTAAATGAGACATGTATGGAAGAATATTTTTCTCTAAGACAAATCCATCAATAAAATGATTGAGTGTAGTACTATCTTCATCTATAGCTAATAATAATGTTAAATATTCGACATTTGACATACGTTGTAGAAGAGAAATACATGGTTCGTAGTTACTACAATTTTGATATATTGTCATTGTCATTTGTTTCAAATTAGGATACGAGATCTAAATGAACAAATTCATGAAAATATCAAATCAAGAAATCTTATTTACCGATCTCATTTTAGAGCTCAAAATAGGTCCGCGTTTAGAAACACTTCCTATAGTTACTATGAATGAATGAAGTTGTGAGCCCAATTGATTTAATAAATGGATGCATTGATCGAAATGCCATAAAGATATACGAATATGAGTTAATCGAGGTATTCGATCAAAGAGCAATTGACCACCGGTACGCCTTTCGGCTAAAGTACAGTTATCATCAAGTTCAAACGATTGAAGAGAACGCATCAGTGATGAACGACCCAATGTAGCTATTATTTCACCAACACCGTAGTCGTGCAGGATAAAATACCGAGGTACAATTGTGAAAAGAGGTTTACGCCCTGCAAGGAAGGACATTAGGTAATTTCCTAAAATAAATATATTCGAATGTCACAATATGATATTTTTCAAGCTAATTGTTATTTTTTGGATAGTGACAATAGAATTATTCGACAAGAAGACTTCTATCTTTTTTTCCCGTTATGCTTATAGAGGTAAAAGTTTTGTCATGTTTAAAGAAAAAAGAGGTCAGCAATCGAGGCAAATTTTCATTGATCATTTTCAATTGTGTAATGATTCTGTAAACAAAAGTAACGAATGAATTTCTCCATGCAAAAAATATCAATAAGAGATTTTTGCATTGTCAAATAATAAAATTTTCATTCTTTACTCACGAGGGAAGTGCCCGAGGTGTCCAACTTCATTTTGATTCATTCATACCTCATTCGATAGAGCATATTGAGATAAGAGAAGCGTAAGAGGGTTTGGACCCACGTCTCTTCCTTCAAAAGTTATGACCATTTTACTAAATGTTCGGCCCATTCCTAGGTATTTATCGGAAAAACTAAATTATGGAATTTTGACCTGAAATTTTGCCCATAGATAGGACTAATGATCCTTAGAATATCCTGAAAGTTTCAGTCAAAAGGAATGTTCCTTTGTCGAGTTATTGAATTTTCAAGTGAATTCGGTTGTTTGTGACCTATCTGTAGCAAGCGACTATTTTTTGAAAACTCAATGTCTTGAAAAAGGAACATTCCTTTTAGCTGAAATTTTCAGGATATTCTAAGGATCATTAATCCTATCTATGGGAAAAATTTCAGGTCGAAATTTCATAATTTAATTTTTCCGATAAATACCTCGAAATGAGCCGAAAATTCAGTAAAACGGTCATCACTTTTGAAGGAAGAGACGTAGGCCCAAACCCTCTTAGGCTTTTCTTATCTCAATATGTTCTATCGAATGAGGTATGAATGAATTAAAACGGAGTTGGACACCTCGGACACTTCCCTCGTCAGTAGAAACTAAAATAACGTGATAGACGATGACAGTTTACATAAATCCAACGAAATCATAAGTTACTTATTGTATATGGTATGCCTGTTTTGGTATGTTTAGCATGCAATAGAATTTTTAAGTGCGTCAGATTTGGAAGAGCTCCATGGAAATTATTTTCAACAAAAGTTTTAATAGACGAAATATGATAAATATTGATTGTTAATGATTGAATATGATGACCAATACGTGGCATGACATGAGAATAAAATCGTTCCATAAGTGATTCTTCTATCGGTTGAACATAATCAAAAGTTAAATCAATTGAATAACATCTATCAAATGCAAGTTGTTCCAAACGTTTATTACCAATATCAATCATAGAACAAAGTAATAATACTTGAGGATTTACTTTCTTCATAATAGCTAATATTAATTCATCAGGTAAATCGAGTAGTTTAACAACACCTTTCATACAAAAAACAAAAATCATCGAATTAATCATATTGTAAAATATGATACATACTCATATTTGATAAGTTTTTTTGTTAATATATTGCATGCCTCTAGAATAAAACTGACATAGACATCTATACATATATGATGAGTTATGCTTAATGAACATTGTCTAAATGAGAACCAATCATTAATGATCAATTATTATAACAAAGACAAGGTGATTTATAGAAAGAAAGAAAGATGTAAACGAACGAATTAGATAAAAGTATTTTCATCATGATAATATATATTTGTTGATTTGAAATATGTTGAATTTTAGAAGTGACTTATAATAATAGTGAACTAATGACATGAATAAAAAATTGTAAACGATAGAACATCATTCTTTAGTCTATCTTTGAAAAAAACTCGATTCGGAATAGTGTAAATGATGGTAATTTTTTTTCCCTGATAATAAGATAAGAACAGATTAGTCCATGGTTAGTTACGATATATTTAGATATATTTTCCTGGACTTCTCATAATATTTAATTTAGCTATTTTTGAAAAGTTTCTATAAAACTCGATGATAAGTGAAAAAACCTTTTGCAAAAAAGACATATATTTTATCATATATTTGAAGATATATAAACATCGATATTAAGTTAAATATTCTTAGAAGTCACTGGATGAAAAAACGATCGACTACTTACCATGAATACATAGAAGGGTATTCAATTATGATCTTAGATCGGCATGAGATCTACCCTATTTTTTAGAGTGTATTTTTGTTTTTTAATCATGTAACCAGATTTTAGTCTTATTTGATGTGTCTCGGCTAAGATATTAAGTTCTTTCAAATGATTTTTCAATCAAACTATCGAAGATTTTCATAGGAAACAATAGAAAAATCATCTTTGAGATAGACTTTGTTTAGATCAGTCGGTGAGATATCATTGAAACATTTCTTTCTAAAGACTATCGTCTTAATACTACTGGATACTAGAATTGAAAGTGTGAAATCTTGTATTAAACAAGAACAATCATGACTCTCATGCAGTAAATGTTAGAATCAGTTCGAAAAATATTTATCAAATGCATTGTTTTGTTTTAGAATATTTTGTTCAATCTATTGAAATATGATCTTGTGACCAAAACAAAGATAATATTCATGAACATATTTCCACTATTTGAAAATATTCTTTTACAAACATGAAAAACGAAGAGAAAAGGTTAAAAAAGTCATCGCGTTAGGGTGTGGGTGGGTGTGGATGTGGTTGCCTAGAAGATACATACCCACACCCACACCCTATGAATCTAAGATCTCTACTGTAGACTCTAACTAGTCTAAATATTGCGGGTTTTGATATCTAATGCAGCGAAAGGATCTTATTGTAGATGTCAATCAGTAGGGTGATGATATTATTGATCTAGCAGAGTCAGAATACGACGAACATAGAAAAGTATGAACACAAGTGAGCTGTAAGCTTAGGCTAAACTCAACAGTATATGTCAAGACTCGTCGACTGAAAGAATGGTCTGCTTGAAAGCTTACTGAACGATCAAATCAACATGTATTGCACGCTAATATGATGATTGAACCGATGAAACGAAGAATAAAATGATATTTGCTACTTCTTATATGGCATGTGTCATATATATTATTCATTAGGAGGAAAGAAGTTATGAATTGAAGATGTATCTGATAAAACAAATAAGCTTATTCAGTACAACGATCTTTTTCGAAATAAGAAAATTTCAGAGCCTCTGACAATATACCATAAATTAATAACAGTCAGAATTTGTAAGTTTCATACTTTCGTCTCCTCTTAGAACCATATTGACAAGTTTGAATATCGAGTATTTATTTTATTAAGTTTTATGAAAAAAATCAAATAAAAAAATCATGGAATGATTTGAATTGAATTAAGTAAACGTAGAACTGGTCTCACAGCAGCTAATCGTACTTCTTTAACTTGATTTTCTAATTGTCTTAATAATGTTTTGTGATAACAAATCCAATATGATAATGTCCATGAATTCATAGTATTATTTTTATCACTATTTAATATTTTTTTTGAATTATAATCTAAAATTCTCAAACCAATTTGACCTGTATTAGCAAGATTTAGTGATAATTGTTCAATATCTTGTCCCCATATTTTTTGATTTTTAGTTTTTTCAACATTATCAAATAATTCTCTTAAATGTAAATGATTAATAGACCAAGTTTGAAATATATCACGATATGATAATTCATCATTAATAGGAAGTTTTCCTAATTTCCATATAAGTTCACTTTCTGATTGTAAAACATCTGTAAATGTTGTTAATGGAGTATTTGCTGAATATGTATAAATTTTAGAACGTTCTTGTGGACCACATGGTTCACATACATCAGCTAATATAATTAATGGTTGTAGAAGATCGAGTTTTTTCTTTGGATCAAGAATAAAATTTTGTAATTGAGATTTATATAATGAAATATGTGTTACACCTGTTTGCATTTTATCAAATAAATGATTCATTCGAAAGAGACGTTCATAGAGAAAATTTTCATTTGTAATTGAAGATGGAGACCATAAACGTTCAGCTATAGCAAGAGCATGGGGCCAAATACGAGAATCAACTGAATTTGCTGCGATATATTCACTCCATACACATGCTTCACCGCCTAAAATATTATTTTGTTGTTGTTCACGGGGTAAATATAAATTATTACGCAAAATTGGATCAACTTTATAATAATTTATTGATGATAGAAGACGATTGAGATAATAACCATTAGACACTATAACTTGATAACCGTTTTTTACAGCATTTGCAGTTGCTTGTTGACGTAACCACGTTTGGATAACAACATCTTTATCTATTGTTTGATTTTCATGAATTTCATCAAGAATTTCTTCCCATCCAATCATTATTTTTCCATATTTTTTAAGTAGTTTTTGTATACGTTTATTAAAATAAGCTTGTAAACCATGATTATTTTTAAGGTTATGCTCATTAATAAATTGTTGAATTGTTGGTGATTGTGTCCATTGTGAACCTTCAACTTCATCACCACCAATATGAAAATATGGATCAGGAAATAATTTTGTCATTTCTCTAAAAAATTTATCAAGAAATATATATGTATTTTCTTTAGTTGGATCCATTGTAGGTTTCATTACACCCCATCGAGTTGCAAGTTGATATGGACCTGATTGACTAGCTAATTCTGGATAACCAACAAACCAACTAAAATATATATTCAAAAATTTTTGTTTTTCTCATAAGAAAATGATCATTATGTTATTTAATTACCTTGTTGTATGACCAGGTATATCAAATTCAGGTATAATACGTATACGTCGTTGTCGAGCATATTCAACAAGATATTTAATATCTTTTTGTGTAAAAAAATCTTTTCTATCATGTAATAAATTATATTTAATACTTTCAACACGAAAACCTTGATCATCAGATAAATGTAAATGAAGAACATTAAATTTACTTAATTCCATTGTATTTAATGTTCGTTCAATAACTGGTACAGGCATCCAATGACGAGATACATCAAGTAATAAACCTCGCCACATAAATCGAGGTCGATCAATTATATTTACTAATGGAATATAGAATGTATTTGATGATTCATGTTGTTCAATTAATTGAACAAATGTTGATAAACCTCTAATAATACCTGTTAATGATAATGAATATAGATATGAACCTGTTTTTGTTATATTAAGTTTATAAGATTCATCTTCACCAAGTTTTGGATATTTATCTATTTTTGAAATAATCGATGGACAATCAATAATAAGTTTATTTCTAGGTGATAAAAACGTTTGATTAATCGTAACTGATATTCCTGTTAATAATGATATATATTTTGAATAACGATGAAGAGCTAATTGAAGATCTTCTGTTAGATTTTGTTTTGATATAATTCGAAAACCATTTGATATTGTTACTGTGGAATTTTTTTTATCAATAAATTCTGGATATGGTATTACACTAATATTTGTTAATGTAGAATTATTTTTAGCGATTGGAACTGTAGATGGTGTTTGTTCATATAATAAATAAGGAGAAGGTAAAATACTTGTTATAAATAGTGCAAATAATATATTAAACGAACGCTTCGATAGTATCATATTAAACTAATCAATTAATGAATAGTGTATACAATTAAATTTTGTTTTTGACTTAATATAATTTATACTTAATCACTTTTACTTATAAGAAATAATGTAATGCAAGATTAAAGTTTAAATCTAAGAATAATATTAGATTTTCTGTAAGTATCGATGAAATTCTTCTTTTTCTTGGAAATGTTATTTAAATATCTAATAAAATATATGTATCAAAAGACAACTCTGCTAATTTATTCTACGATCAAAGTGTATGTGATTAGAATGAAAAATATTTTCAAACATAATTTTATATAAAATAATTAGCATAAAAATTATTTTAACTCTAGTATTCTAAGAAATAAATATTTATGTTTTTTGATACAGTTAATGTTCCTAATAACGACACTAAAAAAATAACATGTCTTGTTTGATTTGATGTATGACCATTTTCCACTCAAATCAAAATATTTTTACACATGCATGATCTTGGAAGTGTCCTCTTTCGAATGATATAAGAACCATTTTTCTCTGACATGTAGTCGTGGAAAAATCAGCGGTATACGAAAACAACCTGAGTCTGCTGTTATTAGGGACCATTTCTCTAATAAGAACGGTCAGCTAATTTTTGACCCTAATAACGACACTCTAATAAAATGCAAGCAAAAATGTACCATTTGAGAAAAAAAAATTTTTAATTTTGCTCAAATTTCGAATCACTTGCACCTTACATTTTCGTAACCAACAATCAGACAGCGAAGAGAGCTCATTTTTTCAAAAATCTACCGAGTGTCACAAAAGTTTTGCAACACTTTATGTTTTCCATATAGCTCAGTTTAGACAAAACATAAAATCTTGAATTTAATTTTGAGAGATCCGTAATTTAATTCCCTACAAATTTGTATTTAGATTAATTTAAAATAATTGACTTCCACATTTATATGGGTCAAAAGGTGAGATTATATGAATTGGATCTACTTCTCACACATTTTTCTGACTATTCCGTGTTATAAACAGGCATTTAAAAACCTAATTATCAGCAATACTATCAGATATCAATGCCCTTTTAGAATAAATTGTCTACGTTCGATTACAATCTATTTGAATCTAATAAAAATAGTCTGTTAGGTATACTACTGCAAAAAACAGCATCTTCCGTTTCTTACAAAGTATTGCAAAAATGAACTCGGTTTGGTGAATGGTCACGTTTTTAAGAGGTGCTTTTCTCGAAAGGGATAATTGAGTAGAAATTTTGCGATTGTCATAATATTGCTTTGTAAAAAGGTCTGTCTAATAGAAAGATTGAATATTAATTATATTAGCGATCAACCTAACCTTTCAAGAGTCATCTGACAGTCTACCTTTTTTAAAAAGCGAAATATTCGTTCATACGAAAAAAATAATTTAATAAAACTCGTATGGGAAGTAAATGCAATTCATGTAATCTTACCTTTTGACCCATAAAAATATGGAGGTCAATTATTTTAAATTAACCTAAATATAAATTCGTAGAGAATTAAATTGACCATCTTCCCAAATTAAATTCAAGATTTTATTTTTTGTCTAAACTGAGCTATATGCAAAACACAAAATGTTGGAAAACTTTTGTGACACTCGCTACTCCTCGTTGAAGACGTGCTAATATACTGTAAAGAATGTCACAAATAAAGAAAAACTAAAATGAGATACGCTTGAATAATCAGTGTGTGCATATATTGCCCGTCTATAATATACATATAAGCTCAAAACAAATTGTATAGAAAACAAAAAAAAAACCGCTTCATATGCGCTTCAAGTAAAGGTTAGCAAAATGTTTATTTTTGTATGATAATACATCAATCACATTTCCAAATTGCTCTACTTTTATGCTTTCTTTTTAATACAGTGCGGAGCACAACATTCATGTCATTCTTCGCGATTGTTTTTTTTTCCTTTCATACTTTCTCGACGCAAAAGTTGTCATTTTGTGACACGATTGATGTCGAAAACCATGACTTCAAGAACAGTCGTTGAAATGCGAGATCCAAGTATCGAGATCGAACCAATAACTCCTTTTGAGTTTGTCTCGAAAGCGTGTTCAGTTTCCTTAGAAATAACTTCCAAAAATGACAAATTTGAAAGGACTTTCCTTCTTTTTCATTTTCAGATAATTAAAACGAAATCAAACAGAATGTTTATAAAAAAAACAAAATTCACAAAAATTTGCGTTTTTGTCGAGCTCTCTGTTAACAAACGGAACCTTGTAGAAAAGATCGGCTAATGAATGGTACCGGTTTCGTAATGAAATTTTATCGTCGCGTTCGAACGAATATTTTCTGATTTTCCATTCTTGAGATCACTGTGACACAAAATGACAGTTTTTGATGCGTACATCGAGAAAGAAAGACTAGATGATATTCGAGTCGAAACTCGAATACGAAATGCGGTGCGAAGCACGAATCGCGAGTTTTCGAAAAAACGATATTTCGGAAATAATGAATAATCGATTGTCAGATTAATGTTAAGTGCCATTTTCATCAAGTTCTTCGTGTTTTATCGATTGTAGACCTTTCTCCTGGTCGTTGTGAATCGAATAGCTTTCGTTTTCATCAATCAGCTGATGAATGTCAGAAATAGGTTTAAATGTAGTCATGATAATATTCATCACTAATAGAACTCTATGAAATCATATCAACACATTTCTGAAAAACGTTGTTGATTGATCGTTTAATTATCTATAAACAGTTGTGAATACAGCTGATTATATTCAAGAAAGGAGAGTAGCGGCTAACTTTTCTTGCTGTATCCATGTGAATTATCTCGAATCTTAAAAAAAAACAAAGTCCATAAAAATTTGCCGTTTTTGAAGTTATCTATAAATAAACGACATGATCTAATGAATACTGAAAAACAAAAGGTAACGGTTCGATCTCGATATTTTCATCGCGCGTTTGAACGAGATTTTTCTGATTTTCCATTCTCAAGATCGTCGCGATAAAATTCTATTTTCAATGGATTCAGTATTTAGAATTCTCTCTATTACTAAAAATATTGATGATACATAGGTAGTTTATATCAAATTGAGTGAAGAAGAAGATGTTGAATTAAAAGCATTATGTGAACATATGAAGGAACAGATTGATGAGTGTGAGTATAGTTCTTCTCTTTGCACACACCCTCAGCCTCTTTGATAGATATTTATGAAAACATGAATTATGAGATTTTCACCTGAAATTTTGTCTTTAGACAAGCTTTAGAACCATCAGAATATTTTAAAATTTTAGTTCAAACAAATATTTTTTTTTTCTTGAGATATTGAATGTCGAAGGCTAGTCAATTCTATTACTACTCTTTGAACATTCAATATCTGATGTGAAAGAAATTAATTGGAATTGAACGTGTTAAAATATTCAAGTAATTCTAATATTTATCTATAGACAGAATTTCAGTTCAAAATCTCATAATTCAAGAAAGAATCTGAAAACTCAAATACAACGATCATAACTCTGGATCAAGAAAGTATAAATCCAAATTCTTTGAGACTTCGACTAATCTCAATGAATCCTATTTATCTCATAAATAGAATCACGATAAATAACCGACAGCTAGGAATGTTCCTGTCTAAGATTCAATCAACTCATTTAATTTCAATAAGATTATTTTTTAGTACTGCTTCTACAATGCAAAAACTTTAACTAAAATTTTGATAATATTATTCAATAAATACTTTTGGTATGAAGTAGAAAATGTAAATTAATATCAAGTATTAAAATATTGAAATATTTTTATTTTACTTAGAATGAACTTTAATTAGAAGTTCATCTTCTTCTAGCATCATATCCATAATTAAATGAACTAAACGTATTCAATTATTCAATGAAACACATTTACAACGGTTTGTTATACATGTATATATTGGTATGCATTAGATTTTTACTATTAATATTAATAAATGGACTTGTTTTTGTAAAATTGTTACAAAAAAATGTATCTAAACATTGTATAGAAAACAATGGAGTTTTTCTCGGTTATAATTCAATTGAATTTGATGAAACTATTCTCTTTACTGTAAAAGCTTCAAAATTAAAATATTTTGCCAACCATTACTTCTCGTACGATATTTTCTACTAGTAAAAATCTTCTATTTCAACTCAAAGAATTCTAAAGATTCATTTGTCTTTCAATAATAATTGAAAGAAAGAAAAAAAAATGAATGGATTCATATATCGTACAACGATTTCGACTGAATCAATTGCTACAAATGGTGTTTTACTTTTCCATTGAAAGTAATTACAGGTTTGTTCTATAGCTCAATTATAATATCGACCAGCTTAGTTCAATAATGATTTCTTTTGTTATACATTTGTATGTTACCATATAATTCCATATGACCAGTATAAAAAGAAAATGATATTAATAGAAATGAAATCTAATTTTTCGTATTGATTTATGAAAATTTCAAGATATATATATGTCATTTTGCGGAGCATTTTATTTTATGTGAATGAGAAGAATTTTTCAATTTTGTTGTTTTTAAATTTTCATATCAACACCTAGTGATAAAATTAACAAGATATCTGAAATCTATTAAGTATCAATTTCTATTGAATTAACTTTCCAATATCCAAACATGAGATTTGCTATCGTTTATTGTAACAAAATGAATAGATACAGATACAGATACAGATTCGATTAAAAAAAAATATTAGAGAACAACATGCGTGACTTATGTAACAGAAAATATCGAATTTCCATAAACTAAATTTTTGAGATGTCAAAGGAAATGTTTGTATTTAAAAATTTTTTTATGATTGTGCATAACATAAAATTAGCTAAAATCTTAGAATAGTGATATTTTATCAACCAAGGTTTCTTATTCGTCGTGAAACAAATAACAATTTTATATTTACGAGTCTACATAAGGTAAATAACTGAAATAAAAAATATTCGATAGATTATGAATCATCAAGGTATGTATTGCTTTCTTTTTTACGCTTCAACTATAAATATTTAAGCCTATAGGGCTTTTTTTTTATGATGAAGATATTAAGCCATATATTATACAAAACAAAACCATTCTTTTTGCTTTCTTCCTTTCATTAACGAGAAAAATATCCGTTTTTTCAGTTAAATAAAATGAGTAACGAAGTACGTGACAAAATGGGATCTCTACAATCAATGTTATTGTCCTAATTTTTTCATTGTTCGTTTTTTATACAAATCGCAATCAGTGAATGAATAACATAATGTATATGTATTATTTATAAGGTTGCGATTGTCTTTTTCTGTAGATAAGTAAATGTAATTAAAGACATATAAAACAAAAAATATTTACCATTTCAAATATAGATACTTTCAAAATGTCCTATCATACTTGTGAATTATTTCGTGAATCAGTGACTGGTCAAGATGGTCATACATATGAGTGAGATGCAATTATAGTATAAATTAAAAAACATAGTGCAAGTCCACTAACACGTGAACCAATGACTATTGATTTATTACGACTAAATCATATTGTCAAACAAATAATTGATGAATTCAAATCATCATCATCATCATCATCATCACAAAAACATTTTTTATTTAAACTTGACGTTGATATAAGAAAAGCAGAAAGACGAGCAATCTTTCAAGTACCTACTAAAACTATTTATAGAACTGAATTGATATCAAAACGAGATCCTGCTGTTGTTATACTCAAAACTGAAGGAGCTAAAGCAAATCGTGAAGCATCATATTATGTTCAATTTGGTTATCATCTTCATATTGTACATATATATGGTATAGTTGAAAATGATTTTAATTCTCTTATGCTTGTACAAGAATATGCAACTGAAGGTGACCTTGAAGAACTTTTCAGAGAAAATGAATTTCGACCATCATAATCAGTTTTATTAGAAATATTTTTACAAATTATTGATGCAATGTAAATTCTCAAGAGAATTTGGCCAAATTGACAGATTTAGGTTTAACATGTTCCAGCACATTGTATTCTGTTGTTAGTAGTACAACATCGACAATGCTTGTAGTTGTTCCTCTGAGATATGTTGCACCCAAAATCCTTCAAAGTGCAGGTCTATCAGATTATTCTGAAAAATCAGATGTGTATTCAATGGGCATTTTGATGTTGGAAGTTTATTCACAAAGACAATTAACTTGAGAATTATGATGAAATATTATTGAATATAATTGTTAGTTATTAGCATCGGCAATAAGAAGTTCGTCCAACATTTAAAATGTTGAAACAATCATTGTTGGAATTACAAGTACGATTGACAGCTAGACATGCACTCAGACTGTTTTAATCTTATTTATTGTATTCGCAGACATTCATTATTAATATCTAATACCCATTTCAAAAAAAAAGAAAAACTATAGGTATTTTTTGAGCAACTTTTAATAGAAACTAGATAGAGAGCTACGGTTAGTTTTCACCATTCAAAAGAGGCTGTGACACTGCATGATTTCATATAACCTTCAACAATATTGATTCATAATTTAATGTTCAGTCAGTGATCTTCGGAAAAATACTGAAAATGTTATAATGATTACATCGAGTTTCAATTCTAAGGAGTGCAATAGATTCGTCAGCTCACGATCTACCAATCTACGCAAGCCAGGATCTCTCTATCTTGTTTCCTTCGGACGTTATATGCATGCTAATAATAACGTTGATACCTCCATATTAGCCATTTTGAGTATGTTCTCATCTTTTAAAAAGTTTGTAATTCAATCAGCAATCTTTTTTTTCGGTGATTTTTAGTCGAATCGAACTATTGATTTTG